TCCCTCTCTCCCGCTCTCCCTCATCCATTTTTACGCTTCGTCGCTTTCACCCCCCCCCCTCCCCCTTCTAAAAACCGCCCCGGGTCATCCATTCACAATCCGACGCATTTCGTCACGTGGGTTTCAGGTCGAGTGACGCGGGCGCAGCGGCCGAACGCGGGCCGGGGGCAGCTACTAGGGCAGGGGGAGGGTGTGGGGGCGGGGGAGGGAAAGAGGGAATAGGAGAGGGGTGAGGGGCGGGGCGGGGGATGAGAGGAGTGAGGGGCGGGGCGGGGAGAGGAAAGCCGTGACCTTACGCCCTGGAGAAGCTGTTCTCTCGACTTCCCTCTTTTCCTTTTCTTTCTACTTTTCTTCCTTCAGAGGCGAACCTCTGAAGTGAACATACACACACACGCATAAAGCGGATGTGTTGATTCCCTGGGGCATGTTGACCTTGTGCGCGCGCACAAGGTGCGTGTGTGTGTGTGTGTGTGTGTGTGTGTGTGTGTGTGTGTGTGTGTGTGTGTGTGTGTGTGTGTGTGTGTGTGTGTGTGTGAGGAGAGGGGGGAGGGAGGGAGGGAGGGAGGGAGGGAGGGAGGGAGGGAGGGAGGGAGGGAGGGAGGGAGGGAGGGAGGGAGGGAGGGAGGAGGGAGGGAGAGGGAGGGAGGGAGGGAGAGGGGAGAGAGAGAGGAGAGAGAGAGAGAGAGAGAGAGAGAGAGAGAGAGAGAGAGAGAGAGAGAGAGAGAGAGAGAGAGAGAGAGAGACTCCTGCGTGCAGGTAAGTACTTGGTGACAGTCTTAACCCAATGCACAATTGTTCGTATGAAATTAAGAGGCAGCTATATTCTATACACTGTACAATCTATTTAGGGAAAGAAGCTATATATGACGTCAACCTCACTCTGACTCTCTCTCTCTCTCTCTCTCTCTCTCTCTCTCTCTCTCTCTCTCTCTCTCTCTCTCTCTCTCTCTCTCTCTCTCTCTCTCTCTCTCTCTTTCACACACACACTTATGAATATGGTAACCGTTTGGCAACCCCATACCCAAAAACTCCGTCTAATGAAAAGCGTTTAAGTCACCCCCCCCCCTCTTATACTTCTCTCCCATCCTCTCTATCGCCCTCCCCACCTACAGTCTCCACCCTTTCAACTTCAACCCCAATCCCTGTTTCCTCCTCCCCTCCAGCAACCACCCCCCTTCTACTCCACCCCCACCCCTCCAACCCCTCACCTCCCGCAAGCCACCCTCCCTTCCCCTCCCCCTCTCTCCCTTTCCCTCCCCCTCCCCTTCCCCTTCCCCTTCCCCTCCCCCTCCCCCTCCCCCTTCCCCACCCCTCCCCTTCCCCTCCCCTCCATTCTCGTAAACTCTCCTTTCTATTTCAACCCCTTCGCTTTCCACCCCCCCCTCTTCTACTCCCCCCCTTTCTCCCCCCCCCTTCCCTTCCCTTCCCTTCTCACAATCCCCCCCTTACTATTTCACCCCTCCCCTCTCTCTCCACCCCCTTTCTACTTCACCCCCCCACCCCCCCTCATTCCCTCCCCCCTTCCCTCCCTCAGTCAACGCGCAGCAAAAACACCAACACAGTCGACCCGTTCTGGCGCAAACCAAATGTTGATACAAAAGTCTAATAAAAAGACCTTTTTTTTGCTGAAGTTGGAAGTTCGAGACATTTGATCGACCGACAGAGATTGCGCCTCTGTTCATCTACCCTCTTCCTCTGCCCCCCCCCCCCACCCCTTCTCTCTCGTCTCTCTCTCTCTCTCTCTCTCTCTCTCTCTCTCTCTCTCTCTCTCTCTCTCTCTCTCTCTCTCTCTCTCTCTCTCTCTCTCTCTGACTTTTTACATACGGCATATACATACATACATTCGCACACATAATTATAAATATATACATATATATACATATACATATACGAAGACATAGACATAGACACAGATATGGAAATACACACACATATACATGCATACATACATACATACATACACACACTCATATATATATATATATATATATATATATATATATATATATATATATATATATATATATATATATATATACATATATGCGTGTGTGTGTGCGTGTGAGTGTGTGTACGTGTGCGGTGTGTGTTTATGTATACATAAACATCCATACATATACATATGCATACACATAAACATACACATAAACACACACACACACACACACACACACACACACACACACACACACACACACACACACACACACACACACACACACACACACACATATATATTAATATATATATTATATACACATTAAATACTATACACACATCAAAATTACGTACACATACATACATACATATACACCCACAACCATACTCATTACAATACTCATATCCACAGCTATACCCATGCCCTGACCGCCCCCCCCCCTCCTACGCCCACGCCCGGGTCCGGCAGCGCCTCTTCAAGACCGCGCGCCCGTCTTTAAGGGGAAGTACACATCACCTTTATAAAGAAACCCTGTCCAACCTCGCTTCCTTCTCTCGTGGG